GGCTGCCGCCGTCAGCCGTTTTCACGTATCGCGACCATGCGCCATGTGACTCTCGTGTGCATTTTCTCGATGCAGGAAAATACTCGCGCAGGTCGGGATCACCGCGTTATCGACCACCGGATGCAAAGTCCTCGTAAATGTTAAGCAATGCCTTCATCCTCCCCACGCGTTCTCCATCCGACTCCCTTAGTCCTCGATCAGATTGAGCTCCTTGTCGATACACCACCCTCTGCTCGTTTGCAAATCAACTTGGTTGCCGATCGTATAACCGCAACGTTTCGTTCGTTGAACAACTTCGACGCATCTACCAGGGAAGGTATGTGAACCGTCAAGGTGATCCGAATGCCGTCGCTGAGATCACCTTGCTCGGACAAACTGGCACGTTTAAATAATATTGCTTTTTACGAAGGTTCGCGGATTGTGTAGAGTTTTTCTCTGAATTTCTTTGTCCGTTGCTGTATGAAAACATTCGTATATATCCGCGTAATATACGAGCCATAAGTTACGATATTACAGTTAACTTCAACTTCGGAGATCTCTGAAACTTTACCATCAAAGTATTTTATCGATTCTTTTATAATTTCATCGATTTTTTCTACTTTTTATCTCGTGGAGTTAACGGCGAATAAGTGGCTCGTATAATTCCTCCCATATTTCTTTTTCTTCTTTGTCAAAGAATCCGCGTGAAAGAACTTGAATTCGTTGGTTTGATAAACAACTGGGATTCAGTTGCGCATTCTTTACGCAATCTTGTCTTTCGACCAGCCACGCGTTCCGACAGAGCAAACAAAGTTTACAAAACGGTAGCTTGTTAGCACGGAATAACATAGCAGGGAGTACGATTGTTTTCGCGTAGCAGGAACAATCGAGACGGATTTGGATAGTGTCGCGCGCCGTTCGCACCGCGATAAATAACGCCCACGACCGTTTAACTCCGAATTTAACATCGTAATTTACCTAGCGTTATCGCCGTTGTCTAATTCGTATGGAAATTCGAGTCCTTATTTTATCTCGATCGGCGCAAAAGATCTAGATAAAGCGAAGCGAGCACGGTGCGCGATAAAAACAATGGCTCGTCATTGTCGCTCGAATACGATATAAATCCGTGTGGTGTTAAATGAGGGAGACATTTAGATGCGTTAAATTACGCGGGAATTCTGGTACGAAGGGTTCCAGCCGAGCGTGTTACAGATTTTATCTGACGCTAAATTCTCCGACGTGTGTTATATTCTTCTCGCAATTAATTTTCACGACCGTCTTTTAAATCTTACCTTTTGGATTTATCGGTAGATTATTTTTTCTTAGTAAAAAATGGTATACGCGTAAGTCAGTGGGCTGTCTAAATGTTTGTAAAAATTTGGTAACAGTGAAAAAAAGTGGCGGCTATAAAAAATAGATGTTTATTAAAGCCTCAACAGCAGCGCGTTAAAGAGAATCGCAAATTATCCTCGCCGAACGTTTTCCATAGGCTCGCGAGTTTTCAGGAAAAGTTATTTCCTTGAAACCTGTTTCTTAATCCCGAGTTATGCACGCTCTTCAGATCGGCATCGATAGTTTCTTTTGGTTTCCGAAGCATGCACGCAGGTACCGTACTTTCTCCTCGTTCTCCCTTGTTTCGTCTAGTCGGGGTTGTACGCTGTTGTCCCCTGCCCCCCTTTTCTTTTTTGTTTCTCTTCATGGAACGCTGGTCTGGCATGCAGCTGAATCCTTAGAAGTGAAAGTAGGTTATGTTTTCGATTTCGACCTGAGTTTTTATACGCGGCAATCCTTCCGAAAGCTACACGAATTGCAGACAATGAGATTCGCCTTGCGCTTTCCCTTTCTGCGTTCCGCGAACTCTACAACATTTACGCGGCCAAAGTTCCGAAGAGATATAAAAGTATAACACGCTTGAAAAACTATAATTTCGTACGAAATTTTCCACCAGTTACGTTCGATAGAACGTTAGATTCTTCTCGTTGCAAGGTCTCAGAAATACGAATTATAGTTATGGAGAGTTTGAAAAGTGAGCCGGAAGCGCGATTTCTTGGAACGAAGTTTAGTCATCGCGTAACCACATTGTTCCGAGGTAACAATTTCTTATCGCGATCGGGAGAAACGTTTAAATTGTTGGTTTTTAGGATCGGTGTCACCGTTTGCGTCGGTAAGCGGCTGTGTTCGCGTTCTTCGACGGACAAAGTAACTACAAAGGCGTGTTCTATTCCCCCGCACACGAACGTATCAATGGCAATAACACGCAACGATTTGCATCAAAGATCGTGCATGACAACAGGTTTATAACGCGTATGAAGCAATCAGGATTTTATGCTCTTATCGTGTAATTTATAACGCATGCAAATCACAAATTTTACGAGACGACTTCCCGTCTCTGTGTATTTTTTCATTTGTACGAGTTTCTTGGTCGCTGTCCGTTCGCAAACGAGCGATTCCCAGGAATACAATCTTCCGACAAATGTCTACGATGTTTGACCATCCTGCAGCCAACCGTTCGAACGTCTTCGATCGATTTCGCCCGCTAAATTGTCCCCATTTCGCGAACTTGAGTATTCGAAATAAGATCTAAGGGAATATCCCTATGCCCGTCGTCTTCCGAACGCTATTCTCACTTTGTTCGTATCCAGAAACATTTTTAGAAGCTGGAGATTAGCCAAATGGCTAATTCGTTGATCCACGAAACTATAGAACGCCATGTTTATCTTAATGTCTACGTGTGGAGAATTCTGTCGGTTCAAAGAAAACTCGCGTAAGTTATTGACGTCGCGAGGCAGAGAGGAACGAGTTTCAAATTGCAAGCATTAGGGTCTTCTTTCAGGTTATTTTTATCACGAATTCTTTGCGCGTGTAATCTACGAATACTTTGCACCGGTTTCGTAATCCCTCGACGAAGAAGAGAAGGGAAGATAAACGAGAAATAAAAAAATCGATTATACCATCGAGATGTTTATCTTGCAATCTACGAGAGTAAAATCGTATGAATTTCAAAGTTTATGAATGAATTCGATAAATAATTCAAAGACACGGATCGTTCCACTCTAAAGTAATAAATGCGCGTTCGCGAAGGTAAATAAAGAACGTCGATATCAACGAGTCGTTAATTATCAAGGAGACGACGAAGGTTACTTATATTAATCCGCGGTCGGCGGAGTTCGGCGGAATCGATCGAAAAGAACACGAGGGTAAAATCAGGACGTAGTTTCTTCTTGGAAAATTTAATTGACGGTCAACGAGCTGGCGGAAAATGAACATCTTTTGCCGATTTAATAGACAGAAAGAGAGGCATCGCGTAAACGCCCATTCGTCGCCATTGGTTCGTAACCTTTCGTGTTTGTGACCGCTGGCTTCCTACTGACTACCAACGTGACGCGAATGTTCGATACACGAATAAGCTTCACCTTCTTCGACGATGCTGCCTCTTTCGTTTTTCGTGCAGTGCGCATGGGTATACCTGGAAGGAAGTACGCCGGCAGCCGGAGCAAGTGCGTAAAAGGGGGTGCATCGGGTGCACAGGATGCGCCTCGAGCGCAGTGGAAGGGTCGCCACAAGTATCCAGTGTTGGTGTTGTCCGCGACTTCGATCGCGCACCATCATGATATGTACCAGAAAGTACGGGAGATAGGTTCGATGAGTACATCGATGGAGATAGCGACATTGAGCTTTCGTTCGAGAGACGTCGGTTGTTCTAAGCAGAAATAAAGACAACGCGATCGTGGTGGTGGTGCTGGTTCGCGATATTGGCTCAATTGCGACGTTTCGTTTTTCAATAATTCGGCTTCACCGACGATTAAATGGAAGGACCGAGGGTAAATGAAAGTTAGTGTTGGTGTTATCGATAAATTTGATTGAATTATCGTTGGCAGACAGAACTATCTCGTCACTGTCGCCACGATTCCCAGTCTAATCTATTTATTTTTGATGTCTTCGTCTAGAACGCGATCCATTAAATAACGCCCACTCGAACGGTTACCCTTCGCTTGCTGTCCTTTCGAATCAGTTACGAGGACGCGCGGTGAAGTGCCTGACGCACGAAGAAGTCTTAGCCACGGTAAACGCGGTATGCGAGCACGGGAGCAGCGATTAAAGTGGACAGTGAACGAGTCGTCTTGACGAGAGGAAGAAATACAGTCATCCGACGACGAGTACGCGTGTAGGTAAGTACGTTACCTCGGACAACCGCAGCCACGTCAGCCACCCCTTTTCTTCTCGAAGGCCGCAACGCTTAGATGGCCGACACGGTAGCCGTAACAGTTCACTCGACGTATGCTTTTACAGCATATCCGTCTTCTGTAGCCGGCGCAAAGAATACCAACCAAAGGACGAGGACGAGGATGAGAACGAGCAGAGGACGGGGGGGAAAAAGAGCGTTCGAAAGAGCTTGTGTGACGTTTGCAGGGGTCAGTCATAGGGAAGGGGCGCAAGCGCAGTTATGTTCGTGAGACTCGCGAAGCACATGGTCGCCCTGACTCCTGTTCCACGGTCCTGTCTCGACTTCCTATCTTTCCTCTGGGTTTGAACCGTGTAAATAATTACTTTGCTTAGTCGCAGCTCTATTTACAACAGTGTTTGTTTATCTTAGACGGGCTACCGTGACGAAAGGGACGCCTCGAGGAATAATCCTTCGAATTCCATTTAGAAAACGCGATGGCCAAGGATCGTTGTTTATTCAAAGTTCGATTAGATCGTTGTATTCTTAGACAAGGTTACGAGGTTTGTAAGTAAACACGTTGTTCGGAACTCAATGACGAGTAATCAGTGAATGACACTTGTTTTGAGAGTGGGGAACGCGCAAAAGGATCCATCGGGACTTTGATCGAAGTGGTTTATATTAAGTGTTTGGAGAGAATGTTCTTCGAAGAAGCGAGAGAAGAGAAAAGGAGCAACAATCGTTGAAGAGTAGATGGTCGTTCAGTGCATAAACCCGATAGATGTTGTGACGTTATAAATATAGAGCGCTAATGGAAACGCACTACGCTGCCCCTTGGCTTCGAGGAAAAATAAATAGAGTTATGGAATACACCGTCGCTCTCTTTGACCCAATGTCTTTTCCAGAAGGTTATCCAGTTATAAAAATACTTCATTCTTGAAATAAGGGACACTACAGACGTACGAAAAAAATTCGTGCAAGAAGAGAACATCTTAAATTTCCAAAAACCAAGGGATGCAATATTTATTGCATATATCTAACTTTTGAAAAGTAGAAAGGTCAAATTAACGGGTGTATTTTCAAGAAAATAGAGAGGCAAACTTCGTTTACCCGCCCCCCTCCAAAAAAAAAGATGATTCAGCCGAAGAATCATGCCGTAGGAGTTATGGGAAGTCGCAAACTAAACGTCCTTGACCCAGGGCAAACAGTCATCAATGAAGTCTCCTTGTGGCGGTACAACTCGTAAATAAACATTATCGTTTCTTAAGATTTATGGATGAACTTTGCGATATTGAAAAAAAACCGTAGTGGTGCTGTAGTGATCTATTATTGAACATTCGCGTGTTGACTGTAATAGAGTGCAGTGTCCTAAGACCACAAGATCGGAGTTCATCGATCGAAACCAAGGGTGAGTAAACTGATATACGCCTGTTGATCTTCGTAATCGTTCACCGAATTGCTAAATAATTTTCTTTAATCTATTTTTATTGTTATATACGATACTTCGTTTATTATGTAGATAGGTGACCATAATTAGTTTAACTATCTACATAGCGACGTTTTATTCTTCGAGTAACTGTCTGTTACAGCGAGTTGTATCAAAAATTCGAAATTAATTCACGTATACGACATCGCTTAAAACTTCGACCAATAAAACAATAAATACATTGTAATGGTAGGTGAAATCGTTGGTTGATTGTACGATATACGCATAGAACTCATTAAACAAGTGAGCTGGTTAGATATTACGTCTGTTGCACCACTTATACCTTTCATACCACTTAACCCTGACCTACCATCGGTGGCTTACAGTTTTATAGTGGTTCGATCAGAAATGGACAATTAATACCCATATAATTAATAATTTCAGCATACGCACGTACAATGCCCATTCAATCTACTTGCAGCGATACGATGTAATTATATAATATGGACAGATATTAAACAAACATTCGATGAGATTAGATTTTCTACGCGTGCATTTTACTGGTTTTCTAGCTATCTGTTATTGGACCTCGTTATTATTGTAATACGCATAGTTATAGTATCTAATGTCTGCGAATTTATTAGACCTACCTGCTATGTCAACAACATTGCAATGCATAATATAAACATGAAATCTATAACAAAAGGTTGCTTGCTTTTTATCCGTTCTCGATGTAAACACGATTAAGTACGATGTATAAACACGAGTTCGTTAACCCTGGATTGTCTAACTAGCGTTACGTAAGCCAAGCTGCATGTGTAGTAGTTTCGCTATAGGTATTCCACGCGTGTCAATAATAACGTTAAACGAGGGAAAGTGGAAGAAACGTTAGAGCTTTCGTGCCTTAAAAAAGAGTCAAAATGGCATAGTTGCAAAATTGCTAGAGACAAATTTATTCAACTCCTGTCGGAATTTAAATTTCGCGTACGGGTTTGATTAGAGAGAGAATGATGGAAAAGTAACTAGAAAATGGAGTTTCCAAATAACATGAAGCACAGTTCGTAGGGCGTAGCCCAGGGGGCATTCTCAGTCATACAGGGTTTTCCAGAATATCCACGGCTACGACAGATCCGCACCTTGGTTTTTACGATTTAAGGGAGAAAGACGAGCGTGGCGGGGTTTGAAATGCGGGGTGTAACTGTCAGTCGTGCAATAAAACTTTTAACGCCTTCGTGTCCAATAAGCGTATCGTCCACGAAGTTTTACATTGGGCGGCGTCCCGCGGCCATTACGCCGTAACGGGACGATGCGGCACGCTGAATGGTCGCCTGAACCATCATGGCCGCTCACTATCCAGGATTCCCCCCACCATTCCACTACCTACAGCGTTTTCCATCCCTCCAGCGAGACACTCTATCCTTGCGTATGTTAAATCTTCGAGGGTAAAGCAAAACGATACCAAGTTGAGCTTCGCTCGTGGGCAGGTAACATTTTGTAATTTTTACAATCGATGCATTTAGTTTTCGCTATTTATATTTTACACAAATGCGACGAGCTATAGAGCTATCATAATAGCGTTAAGTATAATTAAGTATAATTACTTAACGATATGATTTTTAAATCGAGTCGTGCTTCGATATAAATAATACTATTTATGGTAATTTAGTGTTATATTTTCTATTTTGTCTATGGGATTCCAATGCAAACCGATAGAAACGATGGAGAGCTTTTTTGGAGAGCTTATATTTTTTAAATTATATCATAAAACCGAAATTAAGTTTGACGTAAGAATTTTATATAAAATTACTTAGTTTATCTCTTATTTCTTTTATGTACGTATATATATTCATACTATTGCATAAGTACACACATACACATGTATAGTTCTGAAGTTGCTCAGTTATGTACGATATGGGTCGATAACTTCTACCGCATCCTACTTTACCGATCGTATAAGTACTGCCTGCTAGATTTGCATCGGAGCAACACATAACCAAACAATCCACTGTACATGTAATGACTTGAAAACTTTTGTAATGACTTGCAACTTTTTTCATATTGCACGTTGCAGTTTTAGCAAACAATGACTTTATATATTTCGTGGATTTAATCAAGATCTTAATCGAGATTAAGTAAGAAACTTATAAAAACTTTTTCGTTACATTTCCTTATTTTGCCTGCTTTTTGTATGCATAAACGATAAGAAGATATAGCTCTCGGGATGCTTTTCAGCCTTAAAAAATCTCGGTTGATCATAGAGCTTCGCATTAAAATTTTAATCTAAGGTAGAAGATCCGGGTAGAAGGAAAAAATAAACTACGTACCTGGAGATACGAAAGCTTCGAGGGAAAAAATGAGCTCCAATTTCAACCTCCTCTTGATGACGACGAGCATATTGGCGTCAACGCAGGATACGCGCCAGAGGCGAGTAAGGCTTACTTCGGAAATAGGCTGGGTGGGGAAACTCAATTTTACTAAAATCCTCTCGTAGCAACGGAGACGTGTATACATATTGTATATACCATATATACCTGTACGTTGTTACTTTCTGCCAGACAGTCTTCCTGCTTCGTCTCGCTTTCGTGTCAGCCGCCATGTCAAACAAACTACATCCATACCTATAATACGTATCCCATATGTTGCATCTATACGTTTGCGTTGTGTATATGTTGCATCTATATACGTGTATGTAGATCGACATTGGCTCGTACATTCGATACACATAGTAATGTCGCGATGTTATATAGGTGGGTTTTGTCGTGGAGCCATAACTAGAAATACGATGTAGTACATAGGTTGCAAACCCATAAACCCCCACCTTGTCCGGGTCTTCTCGGGGCTTCTTCAGACAGCGTTACGTTTACCTAGGGCCGAAACGACCGCGCACCACCTACGGCAGCAACACCTTCGACGACGAAAGTGACGTAGGTTGGAACGTTGACTCGTCGACGTCGACGGTAGCGCCAATAAACAGGGCTCCCGCGCCCGCCTGACTTTCGATTATGTCATAGACTACATATTTCATCGGGATGTGACCCCGCGAAAGCGCGCGCTCGTCCATTAACTTTCGCGACAACTTTAGCGTGTGTTCTGAGAAAATGTTACATTGATCTGTCGAAGTCGTAAACTATATGAGAATATAGTATCTGAGCGTAAGTGAGTGACTGGAAATACGTACGCTGATTAATCGTAAGAGTAGGATTAAGAAAACGTCGCGGCATGAGATCGGGGACATTTTTTGGTTAGAATAAACCCGCGCGCGCGCGCCTAAACTTGACGGTTAATCAAGCTATGATTCCCTTCGTCATGTATATTGGGGGATACGCGGCTGTTCTTTGGTATTCTATGCGTACATGTATGCGAGGACAGAAGAGGAGGAACTCTGCAGGGATTAACTGTGACCAGTTCGTGCCACGACACGCAGCCGGGTCGATCGTGAGATTCATTAAATATTGTCCGATGGACTGTAAAGCTATCCGTAGCTATAGTATTTCCGGAAAATTCGTTTGCTTGGACTCTATCGGCTTTATGCACGTCGCGAACGCCAGTGAACGTACTCGTTAATGCGCATGCGTCCGATTGTAATATGGTATCCTTCTCTCGGAGTGGCAACATGCGTCTTATACACAACCACGTGACCACTTTAGTTTTGGAGCTGAATAATGCACAGTTTATATCGGAATTTTCTACCAACACGCTTTGATACAGGTCAGTACCGTCTTTATGCTTTAACATAGATTCTCTCACGCCCTAAGCTCTCTTCGGAACTTGTCTCCTACCGACGAACTGTCGAATGTCATTCACGTAGGTTGTCACGTATTTCGACAGTCCATGAGAGACGAACAAACTTTCGCATGCCGACTTTTCAGACGGTCGTCATTAACATAGGCAACAAGTTAACGAAGACGATGCAATATGCGGAACGGGCAGAAAAGTCACGTTAAATCATTGTAATGTATACGTTGACAAGTGTCAAAATATATTACATGTCCTAACCTATACTATCGTCTTTGTCTCTTGACGTTCATTTCTCGTTCCGAGTAGTCATAATACAGTTAAACGCATGATCTTCGAACATAACAATATCTCAAACCGTGATTTTAGTCTCCTTTAACATTATTACAATAATATTGTTAAGATGTAAGTTTTACCGGTACTAAAACGACGTCAGAGTTTCTTATGTTCCGTTTATTGTCATATGATTGTTTTCACGTTTAACATCGTGAATATCAAATAGAATACCGCTGTTCTCGTTCGTTGTACTCTATCGTTTGTCAAGGGGGCTTTTGCGTTCATTACCAATCGTTCGTCAAACGCAATTGTAATTACATTCTGTGAACGTAACGCGTACTTAGACAATCATAGCTTAACAAGCTACTATATATTCTCATGAACAGCCGAGAACACGTTAGTAGTTAGGATAAATTCCTGACGATGGCGCGCCAAGATATTCGATCGGGGTATCTTTACGACAGTATATAAATCTTTTTGCTCCTGTTGAATCATTCTCCGTAGTCACGATTAATTCCGAATCAGTGGGGATGTTGCAAATCGTTTAAATCTTCGTAAAGCACGCCTTTTGGATTTATACGAGATAATGAATCATTCGTTGACAGGCTGAAATCAAAGTGACAACCAGCTAAAATATATTCGAAGATTCAGGTTACATATTTTCTAAGGAAAGGTGTGTGTCAATAGGAAAATGGTATTTTTCATGGTTTACTATATTTTCATACAAATGATTAAGTTATCTTGGTTCAACGTTATTTCGAACAATTTTATACATATTATTTGTAGGTATATATAAGCATATTTCGATGCATAGGTATACAATCTTACGATGAAAATGGCGGAAAAGCAATCGGGATGCAGGCGAGCCTGCCTTATACACGAACATTTTGTTTAGGCTTAATAAGAGGAAGGGAACGTTGGATACGCAGTTTTACCGTAATATTCATAAGCTGTAAGCTATTACATTTTATGATTCTACGTCCTTACATTTGATTTATCATTGTCCACATACGGGTAATTACGGCCTCCCGCTGATCGTTTGATTTATCACAATTGTACAATTAACCACGCATCCTGGCTGATTTATGCTCGAGAATGTCATACGAAGCGTGTACATCCAACGTTGTAGCAGCTGACATTCAGGGCCAGTTGGTACGTAAAGTAAAGTCGGAGTAAGGTTCTTTTCTTCGTTCTTTGGATTTTCTCTTTTTTGCCTTTTTCTCGTCTTAACGCCATGTAGATTACGCGGCCGCAATACAAAATAGGCTCGGCTTTCGTATCTCGTGTTATCTCAAGCAGATTGCCTGTTTACGCAACTACGAAAATTTCGAAGGTCGTGAATTTTACAAGAGAAAATAGGAAGTCGCGATAATGCCGCAATTTCATTAACACTCGCTCGCATACTATGCTTATTCGTAATTAAACGTAATTAAAACATGTCCTAATTTATCGTTAAGCCTTATTTCAAAGGATAGTTTTTATCCCAGCAGGTGAAAATAATAAATCGACGCGATAAAAACGTATAATAGCGCTTCGAAGATTAT